TATTACTTTATTTCTTACTTTTTATTTTTATTATTACTTATTTTTTTTTAAATTTAATACTTTATATTTAAAATTAAAGTTAATTTAATATAATCTATATAGTTTTTAGACTTTTAGAAGAATAATAAAAATAAAAACCTCTAAAAATACTTTAAATATCTAATTATTAATATAAAAATATATTAAAACTTAACTATATTAATATTAGTTTATACTTTTAAACTTTAAGCTTTAATTAAAATTTAGTTTTAAAATTATATTAATAATTACTTATTTAAGCTAAATATAACTAAATAGTACTAAATTTAAATAGTTCTTAATATTTCTATATATTTCTTTGTTATTATATATATTTTAGGCCGCTAGCCTTATATTATAAGATTTAACTAATATTAACTGCAAAAGCTAGATTAGTCCTCTCACCTTCTACTAATAACCTTTAGGTTATATAACTATAAACTTAGATATCTTCTTTACCTCTACGCTCTTCTAACTTTAACTATTATAATAAGCTAAGTTAACTATCTTCCTCTAGCTACCTCTATCTCTATTAGTCTCCTCTATCTCTTATTAGTCTCCTCTATCTCTCACGCTATATTTAATCCACACTTATCTTCTAAGTCTCCTCTACTATTTAGACGTCTACACTATAAGCTCTACTAAGCGTAGAAGCCCTAAAGCCTCTATACTATTACGCTATTATAATATCTTCTACTCTACTATATAGTCTTAATAAAGAGCCCTACTACTATTAGCTATACTCTTACTATTAGATTTACTCTTCTTAACTTACTAACTACTTAAACTACTTTAGCTATTTTAAGGAAACTTATAAAGTATTTATAAGTATTAGGATTATTATTAATAGCTTTAACTATATCTATATTAATCTTAAAGCTATATAACTACTATAGATTATCTTTATTAGTTATAGCTTTATATAAGTATAACTAAGTAAATTTAAGAAGGGTTATCTTATTAGTATAAATAAATAAGCTATAGCTAAAGTCCTTAATATCTTTAATATTAGTTTTATAGATTAAGTTATTTAGTTTAGCTTTACTTAGCTTATATATATATTTAAAGAAGGGGAAAGATATTATATAAAGTTATTATATATATAAGAGGATATAAGGAATAAGCTTAAAGCTTTATTTAAATAGGTAAGTTCTTATACTATAGCTATAAGAACCTTTTTAGCTATAGTAGTAAAGAGTTATACTATTAAGTTTATACTTTTAAGTATAAGTTTAAGTTATTACTAAGCTTTAGCTACGTTATAAATAATACTTTTATTAGTATATTTTACTACTCTATTACTTATTTACTTACCCTCTTCTATTAGGGATAAATTAAGCTAAGCGTTAATAACTAGTTATACTAAGATTTATTTATTTATTTTATTAAGATTAGGTATAAGTTAAAGTGCTACTATTAGGTTTTAGTACTATAAAAAAAAAGTATAGAGTGAACTATAATACCTACTTATATAGGTTAACTAGACTACTAATATTATATATATTTTAAATTAAAATTAAGTTATTAATATTACTTATATAATAACTTTTATAAAGATCTATAATAATTATTTAATAAAATATTTAAAAACTATTAAAAAGCTTAATAATAATAAGAATTTACTTTAAGTTTTAGCTCTTTTAGAAGTAATAAAAATAGTAATTATAAAACTAAAGAAGTATTAATTACTATAAAAATAATAATAATTCCTTTATATATCTTTATTATTCCTCTCTTTTATATTAATACTAAATATATTAAATAATAATTTAAGATTTTATAATATTTAAAAAGTTTATTTTAGTTTATTAAAAAAGATTATTAAAGTAAAGTTTATTTAGATTTATATTTAGAATTATTATAAAGATATTTTATAAAACTTAAAAGCTAATTTATATAATACTTATAGATCTTTTTATAATTTAATAGCTTTAATATTTTCAAACTTTAAGAAATATATATATTATTATACTTCTTATATTACTATAATAACTTATTATAATAATTATTATTATAATAATCTATTATAATAATTAATATAATAATCTTATTATATTTATTATATTAATATACTTCTTTAGAAATAAATAGAATCTTTATTTTAAAATAAATATAATATTATTTATAATTTCTTAATAAAGTATAAATATTATATTACTTTTCTTTTTAAAATATTATTAAATCTATATAAAGTTTATTTATTAAGTAATTAATTTAAGACTTCTAAAAAAACCTAAAAATAAATCTAAAATATTATAGTTTTTATAATATAGCTTATAACTATCTTTATACTATCTTAAGTTCTATTTCCTTTAAATAAATATTTAACTTTAGCTAATATATTTATTACTATATATATTCTAATATAAAACCTAAAATAATTTTCTATTAACTCTTTTTTATAATTTATAATAAGTATTAAGATTAGCTTTTATTCTTTTATCTAAAGTTTATTATTTCTAAAAACCTTATACTTTATAAACTAAATAAAAATTAAAATATATTAATTTATTAAATATTTAAATATAAAGTTTTTAATGTTAAGGATTTTTATATTATTATCTATAAACTTTTTTTTTTTTTTTTTTTTTAGAGGTTTAAAGGTACTTCCCCCTCTATTTAATTTATACTAGAGGGCTTAAAGCCTTAATACTTTATACTAATACTTAATATTAAGCTATATACTACTAAGAAACCCTTTATAAGAAGAAAACTTAAGCTATAAGCATAGTATATAATAAAGCAGATAGTATATATATATAATACTATATAATAATTAGCTAGAGGCTATTAATGCCTTACTATATATATAGGTCCTTTAAGAGAGAGACTTACTTTTTATAATAAGTTTTTAACTAATTAGAAGAAAGGAAAAAGGGTTCCTATAGCTAGGATTAAACTAACACCTATATATTTAGGTAATATATAAGCCTACTAAATATATACTACTACGCTATATAGGTTTATCTATAAACTTATTATTAAATATACTTAAGATATTATTAATATTTTAAGTAATTATAATAATACTTAAAACTTAATAGAATTAGAGTTTTTAGATTTAAAACTTATTAAACTATTTAGCTAAATCTTAAATTTTATAAATAAACTAAATTAAATTTCTTAAATATTATTATTTAGTTTATAGATATTATAATAAAGTTTATAAATTTATAGAAACTTCTTATTATTATTAAATTAGAGAAATAACTAGATAATAAGAAAATAATTAAATAATTAAAAAACTATAAAAAAAATAAATTATAATAATCTTTTATTATTAGAAATTAATAATATATTATAATAGTATAATTTATTTCTTATATAGTTTTAATATTTTAATTTAAATTTTAACTCCTCTTTAAACTTCTTTTAATATATTATATTTAGAAAATAAACTATTACTTAGAACTTAAATTATAATCTCTACTTTATTTATATATTTAATACTTAAATAAGAAGGTTTTATTTATTACTTATATTTACTTAGTACTTACCTAAGTATCCCTCTATATTTATAGACTATATAGGTATATACCTATATAGATATCTATAGATAGTTTAAAGCCTAGATAGAGATAATAATAGAGATAGCAGATAATGATTTCAGCGCGAAGAGCTATTTCGAGACGCTTGAGGACAAGATATCGACGATGGAAGATATCTATGAACTCCTTTAATCCTGTTTAAAGGAGGTTAATCGGAACGACGCAGTATTCCACGCATCTCTGTGGTGTGTCCTCTACTAAATGGACTCTGACCAGCTTGGTGGAGTATGCGACGAGCTGCGAGAGCTCTGGCGTTGTAAGGATATAAAGGAAATCTCATTTTACATGGGACGTTTTGAAAAAGCCTCCATTGCCTTCGAACGATCGCTTCACATCTGTAAGCAACCTCTTGCCTGGTGGCTGCCCGAATCATGCTAATGAGCTTTCCAGTTCATAAGGCACATGACCTTTACGAAAGTCTCAATGGGGATGAGAAGAAGAAGCGCTGTGACCCCAATGCGGTACGGGATGTAAGTGTGATTTCCCATCTCTTCTTTCCCTGTCTCCTCTTCCCCAGGCCTCATCTCCCATTTCCGTCCCCTACATCCCGCTCCGTCCCCACTTCCGTCTGTCTCTGGCTTTGTCTGTGTCTCTGTCTCCGTTCCTGTACTCCTTATGCCTTCCCCTAGGCCTATCTCAGTGGCCAAACCCTGTTTTTCTTTGCTAACATTATTATTCCACAGGCCCTGAACTGCGACGACGGGAAGTGCGTCCTACTTGGAACGGCGGACCCGATGGCTTGCCACATAGCCCCCTTCGCAATCAAAACATTCTTGTCAGAGTTAACCCGCATTCCTGACTTGTTTCCGGCGGGTCTCTTGCATAGAGTCCACAACAAGGTACAGTCCGATGATAACATTCTGGGCACAACTCGCAACGTCCTCTCCATGAATACCCAAATGCGGCAGTACTGGGCAAACGGCCGCTTCTCTCTGGAGCCCTGGGGTGAACCTTATCAAGAGACGACAGAAAGACGTCGGACAGGCACTGGCGGTTTGTGGTGCCAGGAAGTGCGCTTCCACTGGATGAGACAGACCACGATCAACATGCAAGAGAAGTGGGACGGGAGAGGCCAGAATCTCCGCGATTTGCTTCCCCCGCACCTCGGCAGATACGACCATTGGAGCGCCAAGACGGGTGCGTTGATTCGAGACGGCGAAGTTATTGCCATTAAAGCCAAGAACCGACTTGACCTCCCCGACCGCGACTTTCTGGAGATCCGGCATCGTCTCATCTCGGCTTGGTCGATGGCAGCAGGGGTTGAGCCGAAGAACTTCACATTCGAAGACGAAGGTCCAAAACAGCCGCGGGTATAAGGAATTGGAGAGGGTGAAATTGACGAATGATAGCATTTCCAGTAAATGTCTTCAGTTGATGTATCTGGCGTCTTATTTCCTACCGAGCTTTGCCATCAATGGGGTATCTTCAGTATCCTCACGCCCTTCTGATCTCGCGGTTATCCTCAACCTCGGGTGCTTTGCTCGCCGCGCCCTCAGCCTTCATCCCGTCACACCCAAATACCTTGCCCGCCGTCTCCTCGGCCTTGCCATACCCCTGTGCTGATGCGTCGCGCTGCTGGCCTGCAGCCTTCATCGTGGATGCAGCGTGCGCCTTATCCTGCTCGCCTGAGGATTGCCAGGCGTGGGAGCCCGTGATGTTGCCAATTGCAGCCTGGGAAGATGTCAACATCTGGCGACGCAATGATGTCACTTTGTGAAAAAGGGAGGCTTCTTACCTCCGCAGCGCCTTTGATGTACTCGGCGTGGCCAGCGACAAGGCCGGGCTGTTGGTTGTTGTTGTTATCGGAAGACATCTTGAAATGGTTTTTTGAGAGTATTGTTCAATCGATCGCAGTGAACTCATTTGGGAAACCTTTAAAATGAAAGCTACTTTGATCGCCTTTTGAATGATGTTGATGGTGATACATTGGTGCAAGGGGGCTTGACCCAATGACGTCAAGACATCGACGTCATCGTTCGGGGTGGCTGCATCACATGATGTTCGCGCTACAGCTGAGCTACTGACAGCCGCCAGGCTAGAACTCTAGCAGTACACGGACAATGGGCTATGATGGTGTTCATCCCGTCGGGAATCACAGTTCGATCATGTTGGATAACTCAAAATGTTGACATTAAATCCTGCAGCGGATTTGCAGCGAAAGAACTACTTTTAATACGAAAATCTAAATGACCGAGGGTATCTCTTCTTAGACCTGCTCAGAGTGAGTGGCCTCTCTCATGCCATCCTTCTTATCCTCCACAGCAGCAACGCGGTCCTCGAAGCGCACACCAGCACTGCGGCTGCGCCAGGCAGGGATGTCTGAGTCGAAGAGCACATCGATCTCTTCCAGCGTCTTGCCGGCGGTCTCGGGGTACGTGAAGAAGATGTGGAACGTCATAGCAAAGCAGAAAGTGCCGAAGATCATGTAAGTCTTCCATTGGATGTTGGTGAAGGCCGGCGGGACGAAGAAGGCGAGGGCAAGATTGAAGGCCCAGTTGGAAGCCGCCGCGAGACCGACACCCGTGGCGCGGTACTTGAGCGGGAAGACCTCGGCGGCGTAGATCCAGCCGATGGGCGCCCACGTGAGGCCGTAAACGCCGACGAAGATGTAGCAGAGGGCGATGACGGCCTTGGCCGGGGGCCCTTGGATAGACCACTTGAGAATGTCGTTGCCATCGACGGAGTCGACTGCGTGTCCGTATGAGGCCATGACGGCGCCGGTGGTGAAGTGGATGATGCAGCAGATGATGGCACCGCCGATGAGGAGGGGACGGCGGCCGAGGCGGTCGATGATGGGGAGGATGGCGCCGGTCGTGACGAGGAAGATCACATACTGGATGATCGAGGACGTGAGGGCGACGTTACCGCTCTGTGAAAGTGTTAGAGAAGAGGATGCATTGATGAAAGGGAACGCTTACCATGCCGGCCATGTTGAAGATATAAACGAGGTAGTAGAGCATCACATTGCCTCCGAGCAGCTGTTGCCACACCTGCACCGAGCACCCGGCGAGAGTGCGCTTCCAGATCTTGGGTCCGAAGAGTCCCAAGACGCCGATGTTCTTGGACTCGGCGGCGACACGGGCGGCATCCTTGACCTCGTCCAACTCGGCGAGAACTACGGGTGACTCGCGGTCACCGCCGCCGTGCAAGTGGGCGAGAACCTCGTGGCATTCCTCCCAGCGGTCCTTCTGGCCCAGCCAACGGGGAGACTCGGGGAAGAAGAATAGGGCGATGCCGAGGATGAGACCAGGGATGCCCTGGACGCCCCACGCGATGCGGAAGGCCTTCGGGTCGTTGGGCATGGAGACGACGCAGCCGTAGGAGATGAGATACATGATGAGGATGCCCCATTCGATACTCCACTGCTGGATTCCCACAATACGGCCTGCGGATGTGTGAGATTTCTGTGACTTTAGACGGATGATGGTATGCGGGATGAATTACCTCGAATGCGGGAGGGAGCCAGCTCAGCGAGGTACACGCAGCATTGAGAACTTGTAATGCCGATGGCGAGACCGCTGACGATGCGGCCGACGATGAGGTGGGCGACGTTTTGCGACGAGCATTGGAGGACAGCGCCGATGATCCAGATAACGGAAGCGATCTTGAGGGCACCGCGACGGCCCAACGCGTCGGCGAGGAATCCGGCGACGAGGGCCCCGACGAGGGAGCCGCCGGACATGGAGGCGGTGATGCCGCCCTGCATGGTCGAGGAGGGGTGGTTGAAGAACTCCATGTAGGCCTCGGAGCCGATCCAGGCGCTCATGGAGCTGATATCGAAGCCGAAGAGCATGCCGCCGATGGTGCCGAAGGCGGCGAGGGCTAGAAGACGGGGCAGGTTAGTACGTACTGAACGTGTAGATTGGGTCGTGGTGCTTACCGTAGATGTTCCATATGCGATACATGATGGGTTGTTTGCCTCTGTGAGGTCTTGAGAACGCTAGGTGGTTCCTTTGTTGTCGAAGTGGTCAGGTGGACGGGAGAATAGCGCGATGAAACGCTGTCGAAGACGAGAGGCCGTGTCTGCTCAAACACGAGATCAATTCAGAGGGGTATGAGAAGGGGGACGGATGATTATATAGACAACTGAAGGTGTCCCGGTGTAATACCACCGGTTGACCGACAAATATCACCGAGGAGCCAAATCAAGCCCGACAGCACAGTCCCGGGAGCCAGTTTTCTTTAGTCGGCGTTTCTCTCTCTCCAACACAAGCCACACCCCTGCTCACCAGCATGTCGTTGGTTGTCGCACGCGGGCGGCGGTGGAGCCGGCATCAGGCGCAGACGGTATTAAGGCGGATACGGTAAGGCATGGCCCGTCGCGCCATGGGGGACGAACAAAAGAGCCAGAGCCCCATTGTCTGAAGCCCATTTCAGGGAGCGGTAGAACGGGCTTAATCATCTGGTTTCTTTAAGCGCACGTATGAGAGGGCGGGATTGTGGGCGGGTCTGGGGCGCGAACGACGTCATGTACGGGCGAGGAAGCCAAGGACATGGCCTGGTCCGGCTTTTGAGGTTGGGGGGTTCGGTCTGGGGCAATTGACGCATGGAGTCTGCCCTTTTTCTCTTGTTAGTGCTGATTTGAATTATTGCTGATGGAAAAGTCCATGTGTCTGGGATGTAAGCGAGGTATAAAAGGCCATAGTTCCCGGGAGCAAACAGCGAGAATTTAGACAAGATTCACAGATTCAGCGCCTCCAAGTGCCTTCGATGTTTTCTCTGCGTGTTGCCATGTGAAGTGTGTAGAGTGGAGCGTGAGGGGAAACGAAGGGGCCGGGGTTATGGAGAGGGGAAATGCTTGGGGGAACAGTGGATGGACTTGGGGAAAATTGGGGAACACGAGAAACAGAACTTCGGACACTGTCGATGAGAAGAGGCCAAATGGCGACCTTTGCGCCCGACATTCTGTCTGACACGCTTTATCCGAACCAGTCATCTCTTCAGGTTTCTGATGGTGTTTCGCTGGGCATTTCATGGCTGTTAGTTCGTATTAGTGCCACTTACTAACAATTATCACTTGGTGTCTTGGACGTCTTCAGAATGTTGGAGAAGTCACTATGTACAGTAACCCTTCACCCCCTTTGGTGTGCCTTCCCGGGCAGGAATCGTGTGGTGGACCAGATGCCGTGGGTGCCTCGGGAAGATTGGGGCTCAAAGGCACGATCGGCGTCATCCTTTACCCAGAGAGGCATGGCGCCCTCCGCGACCCGCACCTGTGATGTCCGCTTGTGGCTCCCCAGGAACAGCTGCCGGGGTTCGTATGGAACACTGCGAAGGGCACCACGCCAACAGAATGCAACTGGAGCGCGAAACCTGGCGTCATTCTTGCTGCTTTTTTTGCTGTTTGACTGCCATTTGCTTGGCTTGCTCCGGTTGATTCCGGTTGGCGAGGATGCGGCGTGCAATTGCAAGCATAACGGTGATACGTTCCTGCGCAGGATCGGCATCTGTCCGAATCCCTTCATATTGCTCCTGGCGCTGACTACGGCTCGTCGTCGCATCCTGCAGGCACAGACTTTCGTCCTTGGGGTGAGAGGGTGTGTGGCGATATGTCGGTTGGCAGCTGTCTACATCTCTGTCAGAAACTCACGACAAGACAAGCTGCAACATTCAGGCAGAAAAGATCGGAACCATAAAAAATGCTTGTTTCTGTGCCAATCCTAGAGAAAAGGGGTTCAATGGTTGCGATCTTCTTTTGCCTGAATGCACTGTACCGCGCTTGTTCCCGATGTTATGGGCCCCAAGACACACGATAGACAACGACCGGTCTCGCCCCAAGGTTCACCTCAAGTCTAGAAGAACCCAACTGCTACAACGCCGCGCGGTGCGGAGGAAGCTTTTGCATCCAACTCTACAGGCGGCAATGCGTTCTTCTCGGCACTTGGTCGCGGTTCATCCCCCGTGGGGCCGGAGCACACCAGGAACCACCACACCAGGCACCCATAATTCTGACTTTGAAGAGATCAAACAGACGCTCTGCACGGCTACTCTTTTTGCCTCATGTTTTTGCGCTCCAATGGCGTGTCGACGGGTCGCCGGTTGTACTGTTAATGCTCTGGATTCACTGCCGCCGCCCGCGCTTAGCGTGTCTGGCCCGGCGCCGTGGAGAATTTAGCCGTCCCGGGATCTCCCATCGAGCGCGTCCGGCCTCGGGACCCACTGCCGACCAGCGTCGCATTTTGCTCGGCTCTATCGGCGCCACCCCGGCTCGGCGCACCGCAGGGAGGGCGGCGGTCGGCTCTGATTAGCTCGGTTTTGAGCGCTCGGTTTGAAAAGTTGGTGGTGTTGAAGTTTGATTGGCCGCACTCCGTCCATTCACAGTCAGCCGTATCATTTCGATGAAGGCCTGGTTCTGTCAAGAATTAAAACAGCTCGGATGATTTCCATATCCTAATCCTCAGTATTTGCAACCGAGCCTATGATATCAAGCTACATAATATTCCTCTTAACCAACGGTCCCGTCCTCTGACTCTCAAAATCTCCCCAACCACGCGGCCTCCGCCTCACAAGCCCAGAGTAGAACCACGTTCCCATGGTGTAAACATCATAGGTCGGCAGCCCGGTCACCCTCTGCACAGACTCTCCAAACGGCGGCATCTGCGTGCACTCGAGCACGAACGCCCCGATGTCAGGGTGTTCGTCCATCAACTCCTTCGCGGCGGCAATCATCTCCTTCTCGATGTCGTCGAAATTGTACGGGCCCTTGCCGGTGACTAGCAATCGCAGAGAGCCGCCGTCGGGGGCGCCGGCGATGTGGCACCGCGCGGCGTGCTCTTTTGATATGCCGAGACGCTCAAAGTGCAGGGACACCAACTCGCGAGCGTTGTAGGTGATGATGCCGATCTTCTTGGATGGCGGCAGCCAGGCGAGAATGCTGGGGATCTGGATTAAGGAGGAGGTGGCCACTGGAATCGGTAGCCTCTCAGCTAATCTGCAATATTTGTGAGTCTTCATTAAACATACGTTCAGGTAGGAAATGTCATGCCAACTTACAATGGCTGGGCCATGGCTAGGAAGCCACAGCTGGTGAGGATGCCCACGGCCCCGCGCTCCGCCAGCTTCTTCCCCGCGGCGACAAAGTTGTCGATGAAGGCATCGTCGTATGCCACCTTCGTCACGAGCTGATCTTCCCTCGATCCCTCCGCCAATTCGCGAATCACGGGGAACGCCCAGGTGTTTTCGTTGAAGGCGTCACCGGCCGGGCGATAGAAGAAGCACTGGACGGCGATGAAGCCGATAGGCGGCAGGGAGGCCTGGTCTTCGGGGCGGTAGTCCGTCATTGTCTCCGATGATCTGGGGAACAGACTGGCGTGTGGCAATGAGAAAGTCACGTGTTCTATTCCGCCCGTTGGATGTTTTGTTGGCTTGACGATAAGACCATTCTACCTTTATCGGGCGTCTTTATCAAGGAGGCTGGTTTTATACAGCATCATGGTGCTGTGGCTCCTACAAACCAGCGACCACTCAACCGGAGGAATCCGAGCAACCGCCAAATCAGCTTCGACGCTTTTATCATGGTACTGCCAAACCCCGGAAATCGCCATGCTTACCCCCTGTGTTGGGTTGCAGTTTGGAGGAAGTTGATGTTGGGATCGGCCAGGTCGGCCGTTGATAAGACCCCACAATCCGAACGGCACCTTATCTCGACCACCTCTCCCGGTGGACAATTCGGATTCTTATATCCGTCACCTACCCTCCTCCCGCCATGGGTTGGATAAGATAGCCCGTCTTCACTATCTGGAGCTGGGCCAATCACGCTCCTGTGTGGTACAATGGCAACGAGGGATTCTCAACAAGCAAGACTCAGGAAGCGGGGTTGTATGCCATTCTACCAGGCTCGGTTTGTCCCGGGGAACATGGCTGTTTAGTTCCCCTCACGTGCACAATTTTTGAAGGTCGTCGGGTTCATCCGAGTCTTATCTTGACCTCACGCAATAAGGCAGGGTATGGGAGGTTGTGTTAAGAGCGCCGCCCACCGGCGTTGACGGTTCATGGGATGAACACTTTGATGGTTCTGGACAGCTTTGTCTGTGCGATTTTGGCTCCTCCTTGCAGCTCACAGTCTAAGCTCGCAATTGAATTTGCTGCCACAGCACCGCGTAGCCAAAATGGGTCTGAAAGATTCGGCGCTCGCCAAGTACATACGGAATATCAAGACGTCGCCGAAGTCTCTCATCGCGAACAGGCAGCTGATTTGCACTTCGTTGGTGTTTGCTTTTGCGGGCATTCCACTGTGTGAGTTTTCGGAATTTTCTTCCCATGCCTCATGTGCAAACCCATATTCCTTACGAAGCTCTTTACGGGACAAAACAGTGAGGCCTCAAGACCAGGTTATTAACGCAATATCCAGGCTGGGACCAGGGCTCCTCCGCAACGATCCCCTCCCTCCCCGGCTTCCAGCATGCCTTCGGCATAACCTCCGCCACGAACCCGGGCCAGGTCTCCAACTTCGTCTCCCTAGTCTACACCGGGGCCGGCGTCGGCGCGGCCCTCACCTACTTCATTAACGACCGCTGGGGCCGCCTCTGGGCTCTCCGCATCTACTCCGTAACATGGATCATCGGCCAGCTCATCGCCGTCGCCTCGTCCGGTAACCTCGCCGCCATGTACGCCGGTCGAATCATCGCCGGCTTCGGCATCGGGCCCCTCACCGTCATTGGCCCCGTGACCCTCACCGAGATCGCGCCCGCCGAGACCCGCGGGCTCATCACCTCCTGGTTCTCCGTCATCATGCTGCTCTCGCTCACCGTCGCCGCCTTCGTCGTGCTCGGCTGCTTCGGCATGGCCCCCAGAAACGTGCAGTGGCAGGTACCCTTCTTCATCCCCTGCGTCGCCATGGCCCTCGTTGTCGCGGCGAGCTTCTTCGTCATGGACAGCCCGCGCTGGCTGTTCCTTGTCGGGCGCGACGACGAGGCGACGCAGACGCTGGTTTCGCTGCGCGGGCTGCCGCTCGAGCACCCGCGCATTCAGTCAGAGCTGCGCGAGATCACGGAGAGCGTCGCCAAGGAAAGAATTGCGTTTGGGGAGGCGAGCACGTACTCGCTGAAGGGACTAAGGGCCGTGTGCCGCGAGACGTTCCTGGTTCCGGCGAATCTGCGGCGTACGCAGCAGGCGTTTCTGTCGTATGCCCTCGCGCAGTTGTCGGGTGCGAATAGTATCACGACGTATCTGGTGCCGGTGCTGAGTCTCATTGGGGTCAAGGGGGGAACGACGCATAGTTTGCTGTATGCGGCGCTGTACTCGATGGCCAAGTTCTTTTATACGCTGATTGCGAGTTTCTTTTTCGTGGATGCGCTGGGGCGGAGGAACAGTTTGTTCATTGGCATTATTGTGCAGATGCTCTCGCACATTTACCATTGGTGTTTACATCAAGTTCAGCCACGAGGGGCCAGTTTCGCAAGGTGCTGGACAAGGTGCTCTTGCGGCTATTTTCTTGCATGGCTTCGGCTACGCTGTTGGTACGTCATGCACTGTGAATTCTCCAGAGAAATAGTCGTGCTAACACGAATTTCCTACTTCCAGGCCTCTTGATTCTGCCGTACATCTTCGTCAGCGAGCTGTGGCCGAACCAGCTCCGGTCTTTCGGCGCATCCCTCACGCAATGCTTCCATTGGCTCTTCTTCTTCGGAGTTAACAAGGGGGTTCCTTCTCTTCTCGAGAGCACCGACCAGTGGGGCGCGTTCCTCTTCTTCGCCGGCTGGTGTTTCTTGGCGCTCCTCTACGTATTCTTCACCGTGCCGGAGACTGCGGGCGTGGACCTCGAGAAGATTGACGAGCTGTTCCAAGGCCCATGGTTCAATCAATACAAGAGGACCAAGGCGATGGGCCGAGATGTGGAAGTACTCGAGTCTGTTGAGTCGCGAAGCGAGAGCGAAGGCGTTGATGTGTTGGCATCTGGGAAGAAGTGATCTGGCGGGAGTGTTGTCGTTAGGGAGTTGCACAGCACTGGCAGAAAGACGAAAGCATCCCGAGACCGTCATATTCATAATTAATGGAAGAAAATGGCCAAGTCACAAATATGAATGGATCTCATCTTTCATATCACGACGGGACACAAATCAGTGTTTTGTCAGCTTCTCTGCGAAGAGACATCCGTCTATACTCTCGAGTGTGGAAGTCTATCCAGAGACCCTCTTGCTGGTATGCATCCGTAATCTACTCATCCTCAAGCTCTCTTGGGCTCTTCTTTGGTCTTGTCTTATCGGTTACACAACTATCGGGATCGCGTCCGCATCCTGGTGGACCTCGAGCCTCGCGGGTTAGAAGTTCCTTGCCAGTCTTCCGAGTTACGCCTTCCTTAGACATCACTGGAGCACCCAGAACCACAGCCGGAGCCTGGGGTTACTGCCTTCAGCGTCTGTAACTTTGGTGGGGTCATGATACTTACCAAGCTTAGGCCCAGGTTAAGGGCAAACCTAGATGCAATTGCTTCAGCAGCACTGAAGGTAACGAGGCCGAGCAGAAGGATGGAGGGCAACTTCATTGTGGTGTTTGAATCGAGTGGTTCCTGCCAGATCTGACCTTGTTCAAGCGTTCGAATTTTGACCGTAACGTATTTACAGACTTTGTCAAACGTGGAAATTGTAAGCTCACGTTGGTGGCTCCGTGAGTGCTTTATACATAGCTATGTGGCCACGATTCGTGATGCGAAAGCAGAACCATCAGTCTGCTTACACTTGAAACAATTTCAGCATCAGCAATTCTTTGCTCTTTTTGTAACAATTAGCAAGAAATCGCGCCTAATCACGATCGTGGTTTATCCGAGCTTTCACTAGTTTGCCTAAACTCTATCTTAAAACGCAATTTAGGTAGTCGCACTCGCGTACGGCAAACCCATCACGTATTTCCCCGTAGGATACTAAGGGTGCGCCCGTTCGTAGAGGGTCTTACAAACTCTATTACCACGCACGCGAGTCGCACCTTTCACTTCCTAAGCTCACTACCGAGCTTCTGGGATCGCGTCCGGCGGCTAAAACATGAGACGAAACAACTGTACAGCGAAAGCCCAGTATCTACCGAAACCAAAGTGCAGTAATTACAGAGGAAGCAGCCATGCATTTACAGTATCCAACACGAACCGGGGCTGTTGAAGTTGGACTGGACTGTGCTGTACGTATCAACTTGCTGTGAGGTATCGAAGGTTCGAACTAGAGAGGACACTTTAGATGAACTCGGGGGCTGTAATCCTAACTGGGAAGGAAACCATCGAGCTTCGAGCTCCGGACTACGCGATTCCCCAAAGACCTACCCTAACGCCGCTTATGAAGCACTGCAAACTTCCCATAAATGGCCGGCTTGTTTCAAGAGAATCTCGTTCATTGCATTGAGTAGTTTCGTGTAATTCACTCGGCACTTGCATCTTAGGGCGCACTATCCCCAGCCTTCTATTCCCCTACACTTCCTAAGAACGAGTCAGCGAGCATGACCAGCATCGAGAGTATCCCCGAAAAATGGGCTGCGGCCTGGTCCGACAACGATTCAGCCGCTTTCGCAAAGTTGTTTGCCCCACAAGCCGTGTACACCGACCACGCGCACCAGCTCATCACGACCAAGCTGGAGGATCATCACAGGGTCTGGCGGAACGCCAACCCAAACTTCAAGGTCATTGTCGATCCGTCGACGCCGATCTGGTGGGCTAGAAATAACTCCGATAACGACAGGAAGCAAACGAGCTGCAGTTTCAGAACCATCAACACCGGGACCTTTATGGAGTCGCTGCCAAGAAAGGTCGCTTCGGGCAAGAATTGGTCTTTCGTTGCCATGGTGCATTTGGTTGTTGAAGACGGGCTGATCACGCAACTGAACGAGTTTTATCGGGATAGCTTTGACGAGGGAGTCCCTGTAGAACAATACGTACGCCGTGGTTAAGTTGCTTCTCCTTGATGATGACAGCATAGAAACTTGACTGCTTGTATCACATTATGCCATTCGATACGAAGTGATGTGCAAAATTCGACTCATGAGACCCCAGGGGCGCTATGCTGAAAGATATTAGGCTGGATTTTCAATGCTTACTACGTGACATTAACATCTGCATCGTCGCACGCTCCCTAGCTCCCTCCATTTCGACATTCCAGCTTGTCTCCCTCATGACAAGAGCTTACCCGCTTCTTTGGCGTCAGGATCAACCAAGTTACGGTATACCTCAGGTCCTCGTCCGCCGTTCAGAGCGTGCACCCTAAGCACGTCGAATCGAATCCGCATGAGGTATCTGTCGGGAAGAAGAGCTCTGTTGTCGGCGAAGATGTCGACGATGCGCCCATTTTCGATGTCCGCGCCCTGACGACTGCCTGCAAATGACAGGATCTTCTTGAAAATCTGACTTAGAACGCGACGGGGGGCTGTGTCGTTTGTAGGGGGCTTGGCCAAAATCGCGGTGGGATGCAACGCAAAGTCAACCTTGCTCTCTGGTCCCGAAAGATTGGTGCTTGGGAGCCAGTGGAAGCGGTATCTGGCCCCGTATACGTTACTCGGCAATGTCTCCCCACCGTCCTCGGTCATCTCATATACGACGAAGTCAATGTTGTCGTCCAGTGGTTCTAGCGCAAAGAGACCTTGGTCCCACAACGAACTGAGCTCTTTGCTAAGACATAGTATGTTACTTGGTCTAATTAGAGTGTTCTGAATCTTGTCCCTGGTGCGGTACAGCCTCCTCCAATCCCATGCATGGTAAAGCTTTTCTAAAGCTCTGGGGAGCGTTGGATTGGCATTCAAGGCATTGGGCGGGAAGATGTAGCAGGGCGAGGCGGCGGGGGTCTTAGTCACCACACAGGCGGAGCCGTCGCGGATGCTTACCTGATCGAAGGCGCTGATGGCTTGCCTGCTGTGTACAGGTTGTGTCTGACTTTGGTCAATGACTGTGCGCTGTTAGCAAATCGCCGACAGAGAACCAGGAAAGACATACAGATCAGAGCAAGCCTTGCCGTTCGGCAGGCATTCTCTGGGAGGTGTAGGAGCACACCTGAAAACGCCTCTGGTTGCCGCAGGTCCCCTGCAATTTTCTCAAGCCTCCATCGGTCGATAGTCCAGAGTACACTCCAGCACTGTGCTTGCACTAGAGCAGCATTCCTATCTTCAAAGCGAGTAATGGACTTGATGGATTTGGATATGCCATGAATCAGGGCACCTCGCTCCGAGGAGTCGTCGGCGGGGGGGAAGCTGCAGCTGGGATGCATTTTTGGTCCCTATTCACATTGACAAAAACCAATTGGCGGATAACAATTTAGAGAACGTGGAGCTTTTTCAACATATCGAAAGGAGGCTTTTAAGCTCAGAGTGTGGAGATCATGCTGGGGGTTGAGAACCGCCTGTGTTGCTTCTCCGCTAGTGGGCTTGTGCATTTCTCCTGGTCAAGAGCTTGCTTGGTATGTCTTCCACCAGCGAGCAACAAAGGTGGCATCAAACCCAATATACCACTGATTCCCCCTTATGCAGAGTCATGAAAAGACCGTGATAGCCTTCTGTACTTCATGATGACCAAGATCAACGCCAAAAATGTATCCGTGTCGTTGAAATCCTGAAAACCGCACCCAGGTGCCGGCTGAAGCGGTCCAAAGCTTAGACACACACAACGTAAATGCCACGTAAACTCCCTGCTCCTGTTTCCAGAAAGCTTTTCCAGAGAAAATCAGATGTTCCACAAATAGTGCTCCAGCTTGGCGCCTTGATCCACCTCTATAAAGAACGCCCATGCTGCAGCCGTGGGAAGCGAGAGATTCTGAAGTATTTTCTCCTTGTGTTTGTCTCCGGAGAACTGTACAATGAACCCAAGCACGACATCAACCAAGCCAGATCCCTTCACAATGTGGTTGTCTGCAACCAAGTGGAATTCGACGCCCCCGCCGTTATGCTGTCCCTGCACGATGATGCTGAATCTCTCCAGTACTGCGACGCAAGTAGTGAAGACTTTGAACATGTCGAGCCTCGCCGTCGGAAGACGACCTCGAAACTCTGGTAGCACGAGTTTCTTGGACTTGTCCATGATGTCAAACACATTCGATTTGCCTGCCATGCCTCTGATCCTTGATCGCACCGGTTCGGTACGTGCGAGGTCAGGACTTTCTCCGAAGACCATCGCCAAGTATTCGGGATGCATGACGTAGTCGTTGGCAATCTGGTGTCGGAAGACGGTCTCGAGTTCTCCAACTCTGACCGTCTGGATCAGCTCGCGATGAAACTGGGATCCAGCATTGTGGGCGTCGCCTGGAACCCCTTTGTTATTCCTCTTAGTGCCCCACACAGCTCTGCGATAGTGAGAAACGTAATTATGTGTGGGTCTGCTGCCGAGGAAGACTGTGTTGACGGTAAGATCGCAAAGATCTTCCATCAGTTGAATCTTTTTCATGCCGAAGGCTGACCGTGTGAGAGCATTGTAAAGATGAAGAGTGCTTGGGACAAACTCTGTGGTGAAGCAAAGTGCCGCGCCTGCGCTTCCGGCTTTGTAAAGCATCTCCAGCATGTGACCTCCTGCAGTCCAGGGGGCCTGGTGATAGAGGTCAAATGCTTTCTCGCGGAGGTATGCACCTAGTTGGTCATAAAGCTCCTTCTGGAATACAATAGGCATGCTGTAGTAGCTCAGGTCACAAGCTAGCTTCTCCAAGCTGCCGATGGACGAAAGGATGCTCTTCTGCATGTCCTTTGCCAACAAAAGTGACTGTAAACGGCAGTTTTGCTTGTTTTGCTTGCCGTCCGGCCACAGAAATGCCTCATAGCTAGAAAGAAATATGTCCATACCGAGAGCCAGCTCCAGAGATGCGGAATTGTGCGGGTCGGAAATATTTTCCAGAGCCAGGGGCAGAATGAGTTCAGAGGGACAGTCAAGTACCTGATCCCAGCTTTCTAAACCCGAGATCGCGCGCCCTTGAATGACGTCTCTCTTGATGTTCTTGAATATCTCAACGACAGCCCATATCCGGAGCGGTTCAGCATCACGATCAGGCTTCAGCATCTCGGTTGGTGGGTCTCTCAGCGGAAGGAGAAGAGACGGGTCATGTGACATGAGTTCATGGTCCGTACCCAGCTTCACCTTCAGCTTATTCGAAAGATCTTCAGAGAGCTTCGACATGCTGTGGTGATTGTTGATAGCGTTCGAAATGATGCAGAAGTGGATTGCGCCGGACATGTCAGAGATTCCGAAACCGGCGGCGAGTTTGGGATGGTCGGTGAATAATTTGTGTGCCCGCCTGCAATGAGCTTCGAAGCGGCGGCTTGAGCCAAGGTATTTGCCTTCGAACCGTTTTTGAAGTTGCCGAAAGATCAAGCTGGTGAGCCAGGAGGCAAGTGGAATCGGAAGTATTCCCTTGGCAGCGTCGGTCCAATATTGTCTCACCTGAGACTTGACTTTTTCCAGATGCTAGCAAAGTGGTCAGCTAAATGTAGACCAAAAGAGCAGAAGGACGATGGCTTACTTGAACTATGGCAATTACTTCCACAAGCTCACTGAGTTCGTCGTCCTCGAGCATAGACTCAAATGGTGCCACGACGGCATATAGACCTTGGGGCGGCAAAAAGGCGCGCTTGGAGATTGTTGAGGTAGGGTCGAGGCTATCACTATCACTATCAAGTTCGTTGGCGAGAGTGGCAAGTGAAGCAAACGCGTTGGTACTGTGGCCCTTGTCGGTATCGATAGCCACAGCAGCTGGGGCAAGGGACGTGGCCATGAAAGGAGTCAGAATTGACAAGGTCTGTTCAAGCCTATTGTCTGCAGTTAGCACGAAAAGTTGAAATCAGATTTGAACTGAGAGAACCTGACCTTTGGATGAACACTCCGTGATTGACATCATCGGCACCCAGTTCCTCGTAAATCGCAAGAGCCTCCCGACGCTTCAAGATGGCGTTGCGGAGTGAACTGATGATGGAGGCGGGGACACTGTGCTTGTTCTTCTTCAAAGTCTGCGATAGAGCCTTCGCAGCTGTCAGCATGCCCTTCGTGGTTCTGGGGACTTTGGCTGGCTTCGGAATGAGGCCTTCATGCTGGGACCAGAGCCAGTCCAAGAAGTAGTCGGTTGAGATCTTGTAAGATCGGTAAGTCTCCGCGAAAGAGTCGTCTTCCTCGGAAGACATCTCGAATGCTGGCTAGCGGTGATTGGGGAAGGTGACAATCGTGGACCACATCCGAGTGATGAGAAAGTGATGAAGTGCAAGTGATATGGCGAGTTGTAGGCGAAGGAAGTTACGGAGCTGTTGCAGATCAAATGATGTGGAAGAGGGTGAAAGATTTCTGGGCACGTGAGAATGGTGTGCCCAAGTTTGGTCCAGGTGAAAATTTCTCCGGCAGCAGAGCGGGAAGGAAGTCCTCGGCCGTGCCTTCCTAACAAAATCCGGGATCTCGACAGCAGTTGAGCAAGGTTGTAACACTGACAGGGAATGAGACAGAAACTCGCAGAGATGTGTCACAATAGGCATCTATCCAGTCTTTCTCATGTCCGTCCTGGGTCTTTGTTAAGGTAATCCCAAATGCAAGAAACAAAGCCACCCACACCTTGTTCATAATCAATGCCAGCAGCCCAGATTGATCCACATCTTTCTCGGCAGATATCTTCAGAGTATGGGTCATGTTGCATTCTTCGTAAGTTACTGGTACAAAAGCGAATCTATAGTCCAACAGCATTTCCCCAGTCCTTCCTGGTGTACGCATGTCCTCAACTGTCTACCTCCAGAACGACTCATCCAAAGGCCCCCAGTAAGCAAAGTCCTCCACGATCAGACCTTCCAAAGAAACTATTGGAGAGTTGCCGTCTTATCAACAGATTCGAATGCCTCGGCGGCGGCATGGAGCATCTGGACGTCCTGCAAGGTTTTCCCCATTTTCAACATTTCTGGTTCACTGACAATAGCCTGGAGAACGGTATCGGCCATTATCGCACCTTTGATTGCTGGGCTTTTGGGGTTGCCCGTACTGCGAAGGTTTCGGTAAGTGCTTGGGTGGATCTGTCTGCTGAAGTCTCTGAGAATTCGAGCACATAGCACGAAAATGGCAAAGTAGTTGACTCGTGCAACAGGACAAGGGCCCTGCAACTCTGGAAGTAACTTGTCCTTAGCGTTCTCGATGTAGCTATAAAAAGGGCTGTCCCTCGCCATTCGAACCCCCTCCCTCGTCGCAGGGCTTGGGTCGGCACTCATTGGCAGGTCGTACAGCTTGCAAAGAACGATTGGGGATAACTGGTGCTCATTCAGGTGAAGAGCAGTAAGTGCTGAACTCACAGGCTTTTGTCGAAACGAAGGAGACGGCTTGTGGGTTGCTCTCTTATTCATTGTGACTTTCAGACTCCCGCTGGAGATGCTGGTTTCAAATGTAGAGCGGCGGTAATGCGAAACAAAATTCCGATCTGGACGGTTGCCGAGGAAAAGGGTTTCCTTGAAAAGCTCACATAGCTCTTCCATCAGCCCGATCTTGGGAAGATTGAAGTCAGACCGGCAAAGCGCGTTGTACATGTGCAACGTAGATGGCACTACATTCCACTCGCAGGTGATGCGGTGGCCAAGCAGATGAGCTCGTGCCAACATCTCGGCCATGTGGTGGCCTGCAGTCCACGGCGCTTGGTGATACAGCAATTCGGGAGTTTCTTGACGTTGGTAAGTGTTCAAATCCTCATGAAGTTGTCTCAAACCTTCTAGGACCGTTTTTTCGCCATCGAGATGATCTTGCTGTATCATAGCCTCCACAATGGTGACAACAGGTAGAATCCCAACCTGCATATCCTTTGACAACCGCACGGCCAATTCGTGGCAGCTTTGGACATTGAGTCTTTCGTCTGCCCAAAGAAACCCTTCGTAAGTGGACAGGAAAAGATCCATGCCCATTACAAGACCAGCCTTGGGAGGTAGAGACTGGTCATTGAGGAATTCCTCGGCAGCCAGGCGGATCGGCGTGTATGTGTCCAGGCGGTTGAAAGATCGGGGCACGGAGTCTTTCGGCTTAGGAGTTCTGGGTGTCTCAGCGATCATGTCCTCGATGGTCATTAAAACATCAAGGACAGTTTCTTCTTCAGATGGGTCCCGCATGCTCTGACCCGGCTCAACGGCGGAAAACCGGGCTTCGGGTCTGCGGTATGGCAGTAGGTGCACAATATCGACGATGCGATGAAGACCTCTTGCCTCTTTTGCGGTAACAAATTGACGAAAGCTTTCGAATGACTGAATGGTTTCACCAAGGTTCCGAATTCTGGCTGGCCCAGAGATGGGTCCATCTTGTTTGACAAGGCTGGCAGTGAACTGAGGGAGCTTGACATGAAGGTGGTGAGCTTCTCTCCACAAAGCATGAAACTTTGGGCTGTCGTTGGCAAGAAAAGGCGGCAAGCAATTCATGAAGAAATGAAGTGCAAGGCTCATTAGAGTTGCGGCCAGAGGCAAAGGCACAAAACCTCTAGCGGCGTCGGCAGAGTACTCCTTCAATTGAGATTGCACGGCGTCGTATTCCTGTCATCGCGAGTCAGTCTATTTGCTGATCAAGTTCACTTGACAAGGAAATGCATACGTAAATGAATTTGACGATTTGGACAAGCATGCCGAGCGCATCGTCCTCGAGGAGGAACTCTAGTACTTTGCTGTGACTTAGCGAGGTCCGGGCCTTGCTCTGAGGCTGCGTCGCAGGAGACTCCTCCGGCAGGGCACAGGGAGTCGGAAAGTACGGTTTGTCGTCACATTCATCGACAAGAAGCTCGAGGGAGGAGAAAGGATTTGGCGTCGCAAAGCTGTCTTGCGGAAGCGGATCAACCTGAGAAGTCGCAGAAGCAGATGTCAAGGGAGTGAGAATGGATAGTATCGCTTGAAGTCTGACGTTGAATTAGAAAACAGTTGGTTAACACAAAAATCTGGGTCAAGATTCAAACCTCTCAAGAAAAACCTCGTGCTCGAGATCATCTGTGCCAAGCCCTTGGTAGATGGCAGCAACCTCTCGGCGCTTCGCAATGGCGTTGCGCAGGGACGCGATCACCGACGAAGGAACACCGATCTTCTTCTCCTGCAAGACCTGGACAGCGTTCAGGATGTCATTTGTCGACGTGAAGGAAGCGGCGTGTGCTGGAACATGGAGTTGATATTGAGACTGCAGCCAGAGCAGGACGTAGTTCGTCGACAGTTTGTACGCCTTGTAAGCCTCCGAGATGGCGCCATCGTCATCGGACGACATCTTGGCCACCGAGGGTAGGTGAGTCGAAAGGTCCCCGCGAGCAACTGAGACAAGCCTCTTTGTGAATATGAGGGCGTATGGAAAGAGGTGGCAGTGAGTTGGAAAGTCTGGATAAAAACCGAAACTTTGTGCGTTGGCGAAGTTTAGGCAATTTTTGCGAAGGTGAAGTTGTGGGCGAACAGTTGGGCGGGGGTGGGAGTAATAGGAAAGGGCAGAACGAGCAGGGAGTCGCGGTTTCCCTAAAGAGAACTGGCATCCATGGATGTTGATCCCGACCTAAAGAGTTTCTCGGCAAATAAAATGCAGATGGACATCTCAGACACGTTACCAGTGGTGTCAAGCCTCTTTGTGCTCTTATCATCAGCTGGAATTCGGCTCAACAGCTGAGCGGCCGTTGCAGTGGTGGGCACAAGAAGGGCGCATGATGATACGATTTCCAGACACAAAATGAAGGATGCCTCACCTAGACTGAAGTTTTGAGAGTCACCAATGTTCACCAAAGGGAGCGTTATGGAGCGTTATGTCTATTAACAAGTATATTGTGCTAACCTATGGGTCTATTACTCGGGATCACGGTATGAAGCCTCCCTCCGGAGTTTGAAATCCTGACGTATTTTTCATGAATTACGATGCCGCGCATCACGTTCAAATATCCGTCATTGACCTCAATGCGCTGACACCACATCATTCCATCTCAAAATCCGCGCCAGCTCCATCACAACTTCCACTTCATGCTGTCCAAAGACATCTCCTTGTCGATCTTGCTGAACGCTGCTAACTCATGAACCGCTCTGGGTCTTCGGTGCACACTGTTCAGCTCTTTCTGATCAGTCATCCTGACGAGGCTGCCAATCGCAGCGTCGACGAAGTGGCGAGCAAGCTCAAGGTCACTCTCCCAGTTCATATCCGCAAGCTCTGGAAGGACCACAAACATTTCGCGCTTGGCAGACTTGGCAAAGGTCGACATGATGTCTGCACAGAACCTGAACAGGGAGAAGTAGTCGACTGCCATAACAGCCCGTGGACCCTCGAAATCCTTCAGAACAGCCTCCTTGACAAGCTGAAGGTGCTCGATGTCGTCGATTTCATAGTACATGTCGCTTAGCTCTGTCATCAATGCTGCGGGAGTGGGTACGTTGGGAGGGGGCGGGACGCCGTACAACGGTCCAATGAACTCGACGTGGGGAGTGTGGTTGTTGCCATGCTGCCATTTGAAGCCCGAGTTGACCCAAAGTGTGCGGGGCTTCTTGCTATGGTCAATGCTGAGACCAGAGTTTCCGTAGTGCGGCCAGTTGCTGGTTTTGGCGCGCTTGGCGTTGTAGATGCAGTAACGATACCATGTGAGAAAGTTGTTCGTAGGCAACTTTCCGAGGAAGACGCTGTCAAGGAACATCTCGCAGAGCTCATCCATGATGCGAATGCGAGGAAGGTCGACTGGGGACTGCCGAAGGGCGTTGTAGAGGTGAAGAGTGCTTGGAATGACCGTCTGATGCTGAAGAAGGAGGTTGCCCAGATACTGAGCCTGGTAGAGCATCTCTGCCATATGGCATCCAGCCGTCCACGGAGCTGAGTGGTAGTCGTCAAAGACTCGCTCGCGAATGTAGGTGTCGATCCCGTTTGTGAAGTAAGAGACCATCTCAAACCACTGCCTCTCTCCACTGAGACAGATCGGCAACTTCTGGAAGATGTCAGCGACCTTCTTGGCACTTGCCTTCATATCCATGGCCAAGCGCAGTGCCCGCAGACGACAGTTATCCTTGTTGCGCTGCCTTCCGTTTCGCCAGAAGAAAGCTCCGGATGCGGACAAGAAAAGATCTAATCCCAGGACGAGTGTGCCGGGTGCCGTTGTTGCTTCTCCTTTGGTGAACTCGGAGGCGGCTTGGTAGAATGGTTCGCACGATCCGTTACGAGGCTCCACGAAGAACATGATATC